AAAATATATTTTTTTTGTTTTTTAATTTTAACTTAATTAAGTAAGTATATATATTTAAAAATATTAAAACTTTTATTTTTTATTTATATTATATAATTAATTTTTTTTTTATTATTTTTAATTTTTTTTTTTAATTATTTTTTTTTATTTATATTATAATTTAATTATAATATTATAAAAACTAAAATATTTAAGTATTTTAAATATTTAAATATATATTTAAAAAGAAAAAAAATTAAAATATATTTTATTTTTATTTTATTTATTAAATAAAAATAAAAATTAAAAATAAATTAAAAAAAAAAAACTTTATAAATAATATAATAATAAAATTAATAATTTAATATAATTTTTAAAATTTAATTTCGTTATATATATTTTATATATATTATTTATTAAAGCGTTTTAAAATAAATAATAATAAATAAAATTAAACGTTTTTAAATTAATTTTTAATTATGTTTTTTTTTTTTATTTTTTATTTATATATTTATATATAACTTTGTAAATATTTATTTTAATATTTTTAAATAAATGTTTTTTTTTTTATTTTTTATTTTTATATAAGTGTTTTTATAAATATTTTTATAAATATTTTACGTAAATATTTATATAATTATTTACGTAAAATTTTATATAAATATTTTTATATAAATATTTATATTTATATAAATATTTTTTTTTTTTATATATAAATATATAAATATATATATATATATATATATTTTTATAAGTATTTTACGTAAATATTTACGTAATTATTTACGTAAATATATATATATATATATATATATATATATAATAATTTTAAAAATAAAAAATTTTATTATAATTAAATTTTTAAATTTTTTATTATAAATAATTTTATATTTATTATAATTAAAAAATTGATTTTTTAATTAAATTAATTAAATATAATATTTTTATAATAAAATTTTTATTTAATTTTAAATAAAATAATTATAATATAATAAATATTAATATAAAATATAATTTAAAAATTATTTTTTTATATAAAATAATTTTTTTAAGTATTTATTTATTATTTAAAAAAATAAAAATTTTATAAAAATATTTAAATATTTAATTTTAAAAACGTTAAGAAATAATTTATTTATTAATTTTTAAAAATTTTCGAATATAAAAAAAGAAAAACGCCGAGTATATACATATACTTATTCGTTGTAAGGCACTCTTTAAATAGCTTTTAATACAGTGTCTTAAGAGTGTAATTATTACCCAAGATGGCAATTAGTTACTTCCGAATGCTAGGGATGACCGCATTCGCCCTTCTTGCCATGGACTTTGTCCGAAGATCGACTAAGTTTGGAATACCAAAGGAATATAACAAAGTCCTCGTCGCCTTGTTTATTTCCCTCGCCGCCATATATGCCCGAAGCGTTTTCCGAACCGTCGAACTCATCGAGGGCTGGTCGGGGTACCTTATGGAGCACGAAGCCTACTTTATCGCGTTGGATGGTGCTCTGATGGTGGTGGCCGTTCTTATATTTTTGCCATTCGATCCGGCTTGGACGATCCCGAGGGTTTCTCGTGCGGCCGGGAAGGAGTCTACGGAAATGAGTGATTTTAGCACGGTCTGAATAGGCAGTAGAGATGTACGCGCGCAGAATTAACGACTATGGATATTAGAGGGTGTGGTCTCGGGGACCTAACTTTGAAAATATTAGCTCGGGTGTAGTATTTCTGGTGGGACAGGGTTGGAATCGCATGATAATCCTGGCGGATGGGTAGTCTTGTGCATATCTCTGGCATTTCCTCCTATCATTACATATTAGTTTCATAATAATAGGTACCTTAGGCACTTGCCTTTATACTCCGCAGAAACAGACGAGCTATTAAGAAACAGAACTAGAATAAACAAGGCCTTTGCTATTGTGGGAACACCTGTAAGTGAGTCAGAACAGGTAGTTAGATACAAACACCTGGGTGAATTCATATACACTAACTGTTTTGTAGTGTTTTATAGTTCTATAGAATAGGACCGGGCGGATGGCTAAATTCTTTTTCAGAATTACACTCAGCATCGTCTGTTTATCAAACCTTTGCACTAACATATCCAAAACAATTTATCACCGATTTCCAAACCATTCTACAGTCACCAGCTCTTAGCCGATCAAGCAATTATGGCACGTTCCCCACCCCCCGAGCCGAAGCGTGGAAGCCCTGCAAGAAGGGTTGCCGAAAGACTAGGACTACGATCTACAAAGCCAGATGAAAATGTTGCGCCGAAGCATAAAAGCGCGCGGAAGCGTACGAGCGCGCCGAGAAACACAGGATTCTCCGCCGCCGAAACATTTAATAACCCTATGAGCCCCTTTTATGTAAAACGGGATGAGTTTAGTTCGCCTCGATCACGCACGACTGCCGCCCATTCGCCCCTTGCAGCTAAGAATCGAGCCGATTTCACCTCGCTACGACATGGTAGACCGCCAAGGAGTGATCTACGTGCGGCAATCATAGAAAGAAGGCGACGGCACTCTCAGCATTCAGATGAAGATGACCATGAAGAAGTCACTAACCAAGCCGACGTAAACTCCCCGCCTGACCCTGCTCAGCTTTTCGACATCATGGACTTAACGAGTGAAGAGACCATCAGAAGCTTGCAAATTGAGGGCATTATGAAAGGGTTAAAGGTGGACCAGGTAACACATAAGCTTTGTCGAAAAGCATTGCGCAAGACAGGGGACTTTGACAAAGCCCTCGACCTTCTAGTAAATGGGCCGGATTCTGAGATGGCGGACGTTCAAGCAAAGAAACGAGTTCGAGTCCGGAAGCGGGTACGGTTTTCTCAGGTTGATACCTGGTACCATTACGTTTAGGTGTCAGGGGGACCCTTTAAATCAATATAGGTAGATGTTTAGCAGTTAGCGTGTTTACGGGTAAGAGGTCAGTGTTTATATCAATATATGTACTCTGTTTTGATCTATGTTATGCACAAGAATAAATAGTATTACAAAGTCAAGATAAAACAAAAGCATGAATTACTACCAGTTTTAAACAATCTCATTTGCCCCTTTTATGACGGGGCCCCTAATTCTGATTCTTTGTACATTGGTATTATCAACAACAAAGCCTTTCCTACGCCTTCTCTACCCATTTGGGTAGACTTATGATAGCTAATACTAAATGCAGGCTTGTTACCGTGTAAGATGCAGAATGGCCGCCGTTGCTTGAAGCTACAAGATACCCCCTTCTCAAGCCACGCAGCGCTAAGACTTGGTTCAAAGACAAGAGTTGACGAGCGCTTATTCATCATATAGCTCGCTATTCGACTGCCGAGACGATAAAACTTCTGATTGGCTTGGACATGGAGGTTGACGCGAGCGCGTCACATCGTGCATCGGAACGGGCTATGGACTCAACAGTTGTTATTAGAGTCCTTATATAATTCGACTCTTTGGTACGGAGGTTGCCGCAAATCCTACTCTAATACATCCACTACTTTAGGCACCACCGCACGTATCACTACCCCGAACACAATTACGGACAATTGATACGATGCAACTCAAGTCGATTAATCTCCTTTCATTATATTCGCGTCTGCATTCGAGCTAAAATAAGCTGCAGCACAGCCCCTCACATTCCATCGGCCAGCATGGCGTCGACGAGCATGACGTGGCGGTTGGCGTTGGTCTCGCTCCACTCGCTCTCGTAGTTGAGCCCGTAGGGCCAGAAGTGGCCGCCGCCGCAGTTGATGCGGGCGGCGGCGCCGTCCCACGACTGCAGGAGCGGCGTGGCCGTGCGCCAGTCGTTGGCCGCGCACTTGCGGTCGAAGGCCGCCGTCTGGCCCACGCCCAGCGTGTGCGCGATCTCGTGCATCGCCGTCCGCTCCGTCATGTACGCCCGGTCGCTCCCGAACCGCAGGTCCCCGTTGTAGCTCGCCTCCGCCGTCGGCACCCCGGGAGCGTAGTACACCCGGATCGTCTTGCTCGCGTCCGTGTACCGCCCGTACCGCGCCACCGCGAGCCGCATCGCCGACTCGATCCTGCCGTACGCCTCGTTCTGGTCCGCCGTGGGCGCCGACGCCCTTTGCAGGCTCCACGATATCGCTGCCGACGCGGTGGACGCGTAGGTCAGGGCAGCGGCGAGGATCGAGAAACGCATCTTGAGTGGTGGTGGGGACAGCCTTGGTGCGGATGACTTGGGTGGGATCGAATGTGTGATGCGGTCCGGGAAGGATCGACAATCCAAGATCTAACGGCAGTCGATGTCTTTAATATAGTCCGTCTCGCTCCCCTGTCGATCATATGCATGGTAGATACGTTGATCTGATATATAGCATTTCCCTTATGACACTCCTCGGCCTGGTATTGCCCGGTGGGCGCTTAGCGACTTGAGGAAATATCCCCCGCTGGTATTAGGCTAGGGAGAGATTGTGGTCGAATTCATCCACTTCTAATCGATCACCTAACGCTTTCGGACGACCGTCCTCCGATGTACGTAGTAGAAAGCGACTTTAATATCTTGGCAAATCCGGGGCATAGGTTATTTGGGTAGGTTGTTATTGCTTGGCACGCATTCCGCCTCCACGGGTGCCACATATTTATTGCGAGTGGCCTGGGTGCCGTTATCGAATCCATGCTACATGGACTAGAGTTTTACATCTCGAGTAGAGCCGATTTAAAATCTTGTCAGCCTACAGTTTGGTGTCTCAGGCATGGGAAGCATCTTTAGATTTCTAAGCTCAAACACTTGTGGTTCAACCGTAGCATTTCAGTAAATTCTACCAAGAGATTATCATGTAGTTTGACGAGATAAGTGTTCATTTTACATAGAAAAAGATTCCGACTCGCTAAGATCATGGAAGGTATGATTCCCCGTCTTATCGTCTATGCCATCTGCGTAACAAGAAAAACGGATCTACTAGAGTAACGAGGTAGGTATAGTAGAAGCTCTTAGCCCCGATGTTGGATTGAATATTATTCAAGGCGTTCGAAAATATGGGATCAGTATGCTGCCGAAAAAGAAATATAAAAAGTTAGTAGCGGCGGGATTTGAACCTGCATCTTCTCTATTCCGATGTATTTTGAACTCTGGATGTGTTACCATTACACCACGCTACATTCACATTGGGTGGAAACGAACGGCGGACGTGTCAGATGTCGACAGGTAGAAGTCTCCTATATTTATCGGTTCAGTTCTATGGGGCTAGAGCCAATTGCCTTAGGAAGTAGGACGTCACCCTTTTGATATAGCAGCACTAATCCTTGCCTGCCCCCCACTGGGTTTCTGTGTACTATGAAACTGTTTAGGCTCCTCAAGTTGCAGGTAGCATTAACTAGGAGGGCTATATGCCACCTCGAGACGAGCACGAAGAGTTGTTATCCGTATTTGAGAACCTTCCTAGCTACCAGGTATGCAATCCCAAGGAACAAGGCACAGAAACTGTATAAATGAACCAAGTCTTCACATTCTGATTAATCTCCTATTGAGTCCTACTTGTATTCCACTATCATCTTCCACACCTGCTCGGTAAGTATCTGATTCACTCGCCTCATAGCTCACGTTGACTTTTTCATTGAACCATAATCCAGTCCAGAAGCCGGTGAGCAATTCTCCACCTAGTCTCGCGTAAGGGGTATTTCTACAGATTTATCGGGTGCCCTTGAAAATTCAGCAAGCTTCCCAACCGAATCAACCGCTTTTCATGTAATCAATGCCGGCCTGGTAGATCTTGGTCAGAACCGCCGTCTCCTCCACCGTGTTCGGCACGTAGAGCATCGTGTACCCGAGATGGATCCAGTCGGTGCCGCTTAGGCGATGGCGCTCGCCCCATCCCTTCGAGATAACTTCCTCCGCGTCTTTGAACGAGAGTGTCACGTGGCCCGACAGGTCCGTTCCGTGGATGTGGCAAATCTCTCGCGACGTCGGACCGGCCAGGGGCGTCAACGGCACCGAGCGCTTGGTGAACAGAGCTTGGCCGTGCTTCTCCAGCGCCGACGTTTTCCATTCGGTTGACTCTGCATTGATTTGGCCGAGGGTATTGAAGGCGTCCATGTATGCCTGCGGAATGTTAGCAAGTTACTTTCCACAGTCTTGCGGGGCGCTCTAGGGTGGGGGAACCTGCCTTCTTGACCGCTGGATCCTGAGGGTCGGCGGCGTTCCTCTCGCGCTGCGGATACACAAAGGGCTTTGCCCTAGCGCGGGGGCCAGGTCGTACGGGGAGGGGCTCTTTGAAGAACGACTTTCTAGCATTAGCCCTCTGCTCTTCCGTCGCTCGCTTCCAGCCCGTGGCCAGCTTCTCCGGCTTGTCGTAGAAGCCGGGCTTGATTGTGTCGTCGGCGCCGAACGCCATGGTCTTCTCGGCGCTGAGTTGGGACATGTAGCCGGACCAAGAGTGGGAAGTGCCGCCTTCGCCCATCGCCTTCCACGCCTTGTAGCCCTCCATCAGGCCGGCGTCTTCGTGCTTGGATGATAAAGTCGAACCCATTCTGGCGGTAGGTGTTACTGTCCGGATGTTGAACAAGCTGCTGAGTAGAAATGTGCGACGTAGAGACATCTGCATCCGGTTTGGACTAAATCTTTCAGGCAATGGGCGCACTTTCCGTGCAGCTGCTTTTGTACTGACTTGGGATAAGGCCGTAGATGCCTGACGTGCGGATTGGAGTTCGGTCTTTCTATTCTGATGACGGAGTAGTTACACAGGTACGTTATATCCGAGTGTATCTGAGCTAAATCCGAGAGGCGTATTCAAGGTCGGCCGAGGCACGGCGATGCAGTCGGAATTCGACCATGCCCCATTTCAGCGACTCGGTGCTGCTTTTGCTTCGGTTCTAGATGTCTTTCATCCATATCCGAATGCACAAGGTAGGGTGAGGTAAGGAGATGATCTTACTTACCCCTATTTATACATTAGCCTCCACCAGAGACCTGAGCATACTCATATCTATATCCGAACCGATACAACATTCCTGGGACGAAAGCAAGCGTTGAGCATTAATCGTCAATCTGCATTCGTAATTTGTCATTAGGCATATCTACTAACTGCGCTCAAACCCATGTATAGAAGTAATCAACAGTGAGCGACTTGAAACCAATTGGGCGTATGTATGTCGCATCTCACGAAGAGTGCGTCGCGGCTCCAAAACTCGAATCCTATCATGGCACCACTTGCCTTATACCAAGGAGATTTCCAATCTAGGGTTTACGGCCATACACGTACCGGACCTTCATATATGGGTGGACACCCCTTGACTTGAGTGTCCTGAGCTCCCTCCTTAGGAACGCAAGGGTCTCCCTGTAGCCGGGTGTATCCTCACCGTGAACAATGTTCCAAGGGACCATGGTGTAGCCTGTGCAGGCAGATTGTTAGAAGGCACGCTCAAAGCTACGACTTTCGGAATAACACCGGGTCGGCGACAACTCACCATCTAGATCGTTGATCATGGCGAGCACAGTGTACTCCCCGATCTCAGCCAGCTTAGGATCTTGAGCCCATCCACCGATAGGTATCTGCAGAAAATACTGTTATTACGCTGAAAATATGTTATCGCATTCACTCAGGATTACACCTCTCAAAACCGCCGGGAGTTGTTGAGCAACGTAGAGCACAGCATTCCGCCCTGATAGGTCCATAAGAACAACTTCACTTACCTTGTAGTTGGCTTCATGGATATCTACGAACCCAGCCGCCTCGAACCCCTTGTTTTGAAGTCCTTCCTGGATGACCATGAAACTAATACCCAGCTTCTTCGACAGCTGTATCATTCGAGTCAGCAATGAAACGCATGTTGGATTGAGTAAACGGATAAACGTACCTCCCTCCAGAGCGGGTTCCAGAAAGTTGTGAGGATACTATCCTCCTTGATAGTGTCGTCGTCGGAGCCCATGATGACATCGCATTCACAGGACTGGACCCAACCACCAGGCTTGCAGCAGCGGAACGCTTGGGCGATGAATGCGTTCCAGTCGGAGACGGCACCGAACAGGTAGCGCATGTGAATGAAGTCGAAGTTGTCGGACGCCCATGTCCACTCCTTAGTACAATCGTCGATCTCAAATCTCACGTTTGGTGGCACCCACACGGGTTGGGTTGGGGACAAATCTGTCCCTGTGACTTCCGCGTTAGGGAATTGGTCGCCCACGTCGCTGTATACTGGTGAGTGCTGAGACTGATTGATGCGACGTGTAGAGAGATAGACTAATGTTTTGAAAGAACAGGAGGCGATGAATAAAATGAAAGGTAACAAGACGAAAAGGGGTAAGTTACATGGCCCATATTCCTATATGTGATCTCGGGTCAGTTTATCTATTATTTCTGGAGTATGTGATGATGCATCAGTACGTACCAGTTCCGGTTCCAACATCCAATATTTTCTGTCGAAGGTCAGTCTGCATTTGACTCCCCTTATACTCATCCTCGGGTCAGCACTCACTTCCACATCGTCTTTGACCGGCGGGAGGAACAGCTTATCATCTAGCATAATTGTCAAGTAATGGTGCCTGTAGTGGTAAGTTAGAGGAGACAGGTTTCTACTGGCATTTGCAGATGGATGAATTCTTACGTGATGTCTTGCGATTGCATCTGCTGCTCGTCGTTGGGCGTGAAGTACTTGGAATCGTGCTTCTCGCTATGGTAGGTCCGGCCCTTGATGGTGCGATACTCGTAAATGCTCGACGTGATGGAGTTGGTACTGCTAGCGCTGCGCCGGGAGATAAGTCACCAAGTTGTTCCTTCGGGTTCTTGGCTAGGGCACAGAAAACCCGATTTTCCATCCATATATATGAGAATGAGTGTATACTAACAGATCATCACCCAGCGCCGAATCGGCGTCAGAACCATCGAAATCATCTTCGGCCTACGTGTATAAGTATCACGAGTCAACATTGAGATCAAAATCCCCTTGCGCACTTCCCACATCCCCTATTATTAGATCCATCTTCGGGTGATAGACGTACCTCGCCTTCAGTCTGGGGTGCGGGGACTAGCTGCGGCTGGTTGCTAACAACAGTCGCTGGCTGCGGAGAAACCGAGGGGCCTGGGGCGTCCGCCATTTCGGATTCGGATGATCGTACGGTACCGAGCGCACGGGCGATGAGTTGAACGACGGCACGGCTTAAGATGGGCAGCAATAGATAAATGAGTTGGTAGAATATGCCGCTTTGTCAGGAGAGTAGAGAGTAGAGGCGCAGACTAATAGTAGCTAATGCTAATGCTAATGCTAATGCTAGCGTAGACGTAAGACTTTTAGTAATGAATCCAGCCAACCAACGGCGCTGCAGCGTAGCATCGAACTAAAGAACCCCCAGATTTGCCTCCCTACCCTGAAAGAAAAGTGGCGGAAGGCGAAACGGGTTAGATACGGAGAGGAGGAGGTTAGTAGGTTGGGGGTAAAGATTGAAAAATTGGCGGCCGGGATGAGCCAATCCTAGTCGCTAATAGGACTATTGATGCGGCCCGGGATGAAAAAGAATCGAATGCGTCTTCACATGAAAGGAGCCAAAAAGGAAGGTGGAGAGATTCGTATTAAAAATGTACCTAACAATATCTTGGATAGGTAGGTAAGACCGAAGCTGCAGTTCCCAGGAGAACGGATAGATTCCTCTTTTATATACGAAGGTCGTGATATCGGGATATCGTGATGTCGTGAATACAGGAGGCTCACGACAAATGCGCCCAGTAAGAACAACACTGTCGTAGACTGTACGGATATCCATGGCTTACCTAAGAGGTACCTTGATACACAGTTAAGGACAGTGTTATTCGTACTATGAAATTTCTTATTTGGCGCTATCTTGGCTCATTAATCTGCAATGTGAATGTCCTTGAACTTTTTCGTATTGTCGGTGATGGCGACTTCGACAGGGATGCGCTCCATGCTCGATGCACCAAAGAAGCCATGCACCCCCTTAGTTCGCGAAAGGACGTATTCAGTGTCCTCTACGCCAGCAATCGGACCGCCGTGGCATAAGACGATAATATCATCCTTTACTTTAACAGCGGCGTCTCTAATGTCTTGAACCAACTTGACGCACTCGTCTAGAGTCTTCCCCGTCTTCGCCCCAATGCCCTGACTTGTCGTCAAGCCCATGTGGGCGACTACGATATCGGCGCCGGCCTTGG